TGGCCGGGCAGTGGGGATCGGCCCCCGCCCCGGGGCCGCGGTGCTGCCCCGCCATTATTTACTTGACAGCTGCCTCGGCCCCCCCACCCCGCCGCGGCCGGAGGAGGTAAGGGGGCAACCCCTGCCCACGCCTGCCCTGGCGCGGGGAGCCGGGCGGCCCCGGCCTAGCCTCGATTTTTCTTCCCTCCCCCTCAAGAGAGGCTTGTCCAAGGGGAAAGGAAAGCGCGAGAAGAGGCCGTCTCCTGGGAGCGCCACCCCTGAAATAGCTGGTGGCTAAAAGGGGAGACGGGAGAGGAGGCTCCTCTGCGTCCTAGGATAATGCCAGGGACTTGAGGGGGGGCTGGCAACCCTTTTTTGCCCCTCAGCGTTTCTGGTTTCATCCGCTGCCCCTTCAGCCTCCTCGCGTGTCTGGAGGAAGTAGCTGGTGGCGGCGCCCCTGGGATGGGGCCCAGCGGAGGAGCGTGAAGGGCTGCCCCCCAAAAAGCCAGCGCTGGACACCAGCCCCCTCCCTGCAGACAATCTTCCAGACAGAGTGAGTGACCACATGACATCACCTTTCGCTCCCCCCTGCCTCTTCTTCCCTTTCCCCTTCTCCTGTCTCTTGCCCTTTTTCCTCCTCGTGGCCTTCCCATGTCTTTTCTGTCTGGCCTTCTTGGTATTTTTTCCTTTTCTCCATCTTCTCTGTCTCCTTGTTTCTGAACCCTGCTTCCCCTCCCCTCCCCATTCCTCTTTCTCCATATGCCTTTTCCAGCTCTGTCACTAATCGTCATCTTGTATTCGTTATAAAGAGTTGTGCTGATTTCTCTTTCCAAGCGAATTGCTTCTGGGGGACCATAGTGCTCCCCCCGAATTGCAACAAGCCTTCTGTCTTTTTCCCCTTCCACTTCCTCAGAAGGCTGTATTGACTTTCTCCTGCGCTCACCTTTCATCATTACTCACATTAAATGAATTTCTATCATCCAGAGGTCAATGGGGAAGATCACATTGACTGAACAGGCTTTGGAGAGGCAGGGTGAATGCTAGTGCCTGTGCCCTGAGCTGTGTGTCATGCTGCACTCATGGGGTTGTGGGTGTGAATCCTGGCCTTATTGCCTGGGGTGTGGATTGTGCTGTGCTTGGGTGGCTGGGGTGCACATGAATCCTGGTGCTAGAGCCCTAGGACGCTGAGGAGCTGAGCCTGCAAATCTCAGAGCTACTAGTACTTTGGGACGTGGAGCCCTCTGCACTCGGGGGCTAAGGGTTTGAGTGGTGGTCTTGCCTGTGGGTCCTATTGGGCGTGGGGTCTAAGAAGGGGAATCCTAGTAGTGTGGGTGGAAGCCTTTTTGAAAGCTCAGGGGATCTGTTCCATCACTATTATCAGTCCTATGTTGCTCCCTCTGGGTGAAGAGTCATGGGGAGCAGACCTTCAGTGCATGGGACAGTTAAATGCCACACCAAGTGAGCTCTGACACCAGGACAGCCCAGCCGTCCTCCCCCCACCCCCCCAGTAAGCATAGTTGCCCTGGGTCATTCATTGGGAAATCTGGTTAAAGGGAGACTTCACCAGGGAGGAAGTGAATGTAGGTCCTGTGAGCAGATGCTCCACCCCAAATACTTTGTCGCTCACCTGAGAGCTCTCTTTCTGTATTCAACACTAGTGCAGACTTCATTATGGCATGTCACTCCCCTGAGACAATTTTGAGGAAATCCAAGACCGGAGTATCCCTAGCCCTGACAAATACTGGCTCAATATCCAGAAAGGGACTGCATAGTGAAAGGGAAATTCCAGAATGAGGATCAAGGGGGATTTCTTGGTGTGGCTGGGCAGGAAACTCTGTCCGTGGAATACCAGGTGCCCCCAAGGTGACAGCCCCTTCTGCCATGGCATTTTGCCCTCCCTCTTCTCCGTAGCATGGCACAGTGGTTTGTCCAGAGAGAGCCTGAACCCATAATGCATGTTTTCTATATGTGCTGTCAGATGCCCTCCCACCTGTTGCCCTCTGGTTATGCAATCAGACTGTTTTGAGTGGAGGCATGTTATCTAGTGCTAGGAAGGAGATAACTGAGGCATTTTGGCCTTTGCACATTCAAGGGGGTTTGCTAGCTTTTCCTGCTCTCGGGGTTAATTTACCTTCCTCTGCCTTCACTCTCACAAAAATGACTTGACATTTTTCTAGTGTCTTTGGTTCTGATGGATGCCAAAGCACTTGCAGAATGCATATACCACCCTTGCAGAATGCATATACCACCCTTGCAGAAGTCTCCTCCTCCCCCTTCCCAGCACATATATTTTTTTTATGGGTGTATAACATTATTGTAATTTAATATTTTTCTCAGTTGTCATAATGAAAGACTAGAGTTTAAATTTTTGTGCCTGGGCTTTAAATATTCATGACAAAGATGCAAAGCTGATTGTGGTGCGTTCTGTGTGTGTGTGTGTGTGTGTGTGTGTGTGTGTGTGTGTGTGTGTGTGTGTAATTGTTTGTTGTTTGTACGGTAATCACTAAAGGAGTGTATTCAGTGCTATTTCAAGCACAAAAATTAAAGCAATCTCAGCCCTAAAGAGCTTGCAATTTGAAAGACAGACTAGCAGAAGCCAGGAGATGCTGGTAAACTGAGAAGAGGGGATAAACTTAGAGGTGCATGGTACACATGAATTGTTACTTGGGTCTGAAATGCAGCTGCCTCTGAGGTGGAATGCTGCAGCCATCCTGCCCCAGCGATGGGATATAAAGGTGCTAATAGAAGGGAAAGGGAAGAATGTTATGTATTTCCATAAATATGAAAGTCTTCACAGGCAAATTTAAATCTTTGCCTATAGGAGTTTTGGCTAAGACTTTCCTAAAATATAGATTTTTGAATCCTTATTCAGACACTTAAATTGGTGACCCTGATTCTCCAAAGAACTCTGCAGCTCTCGATTGACTTTGGGGAGAGCTGGGTGATGCTCAGCATTTTGAAAATGAGACCATTTATTTAATTGCCCAAATATAGATTTAGAAGTTTAAATTCAGGCACTCAGGATAGCAAATCTTGGCTTTGCAGTATAAGCAATCCGATCTCTTTGAATGCCCTCAGCTCCCGAGGAAGTCAGTGAGGGTCTGAGGATACACAGCACTCTTCTGGGTCAGGCCCTAAATGAGATTAAATGAGAGGGTCTGGAGAGGAGTAGAAGGAGGATTATGCTGTTGTGGTTCTGTGGTAGAATTTTTTGCCTGCTTTGTGGAAGACCTGGGTTCAATTCCCTGCCGTATATAAACCTGCTGTTTTGGTTCAGTGGTAGAATTCATGCCTGCCTTCCTGGACACGTATATATTTCCTGCCTCAGGCAGGGAGTTGGGCTAGATGACCTCTGGAGGTCCCTTCCAGCCTTGTGACTCTATGACATTCTGTGACATAACAATGAAAGATCACATGATGACATTCATGTTAAGTACATGTCTTGGTTCTTGTTTGAGTTTTGTTTTCAAATCCATGGGCCTATGGACAGCATCTGGGATCTGGGTAAGGGGTCGGGCAAATCTGTATGTGGCTGAAATGGCACGGATTGTTTAAGGAGGCTGAGTGGTATTACCTGTTCTGGGATTTGGCTACATCTCCCAATCCTTGCAAAAATTATTGATGCTTCTGCTCAAAGTGTATAACTTCTTTTTTGTTTGTGGGAAATGGTTTACTGACTTTGAGTGCTGGGGCGATCTGGAGGCTGTTCCTGGAGAAATGTTCTTTTAGGCATCAGCCATGTACCACCAGCCCTGCCACTGTGTAGCCACCTCTAGTAGGGAGTTTGATTTTTTTTTTTTTTGTTACACTTCAGACCTTTGGCTTTGGTGCTGAAAATGCTAGAAGGGAGACTTCACAGACAGATATCCATATTGCACCAGCACTGAAGAGCTTGACTTGAAGAAATAATTCCCTCCATGCAGCTGTGAGATAGGAATGGCTTTTGGTCATTCCTAATCAAGAGGTGAAAGGCTTTCTCTCATTTTCCCATTCTTCCCCAATAACCATGCCCTCTCCCCAGCCTAGACCAGAATCACAGTCTTACAGTCAGGGCCCTATACATCTTGGAGTTCTTTAGCCAGCAAATTGTGCTTCAGAACTGTGCTTATATTCTTTTAAATAAATCATTTCTCTAGCCTGAACGTTTGTGAAGATAACTTTGAAAATATTAACCGAGTGGCCATGTCCGCAGAGAGCTTGAAGCAGCATCTCTGAGACACTGACTGCTCTTTCTGTAATTTCTCCCTTGTCATGTTAACCTGACACAAAGATGGCCATAAACATAATCCACAGCAAGCAATATTGCCATTTTAGCAGAAACACCCAGCGAATGTGGATATCTTACAATTACCACCTGCCTGCCACTCTTTCACAGATGTCTATAACCCCAACTGTTCCCTCTTCAGGTATCAAAATCTCTAGCTTCTCTGTGAACATTTGTACTATGATGCAGCAATGCAACTTGCAAGCAGAAATCTACAGTATATTAAAAGTGAAACCATGGGGACAGTGCAAGACCAATTGAATTTAATACAAAAATGAATAGCACCAAGGAGACTCTGCCCAGTAAACTGGTTCTTTTCCTATTTACTACATTCTGACACTTCCATTTTAAAATTTCAGTGGAGTTGGTGCAGAATATCCAGTATGTCTCATAACCCAGAGATCCTGCAGTGGAGTTTAGGACTGGTTTGCTGTAGTGGATTCTCTGTGGTTCATTGAGATGTGAAAGGCTCCTGTCCCATCCTTCTATTCCTCATCCCAGCACGGGGCCTGATTTGGATTGGCTTATTGTCTCCTTGCAGTGTCTCGTTACACTGCCTCTTCTCACCCTATGGCAGCCCCCTTCTCAAATCCCTTCACTGGCTTCCTATCTGGTATCGCACCATATTCAAGTTCCTCCCCTGCATGTTTCCACCCTGCCTACATCTCTGCTCTCATTTCCTCCTATACTCCTGTACTCCTCCCAGTTCTCTCTACTGCTCTGCTTTTCTTTCTCCTCACTACACTTTTGGCACTTTCTCCTGTTGCCCTGTATGTCTAGGACACACACCCTGTCCTCATACGTGCCAAGTGCCCTCCATCTTCTCCTTAAGACGCTTTTCTTCCAAAAACTCTCCCTTTCTATGAACCATTGCCTTTCCCTGCCTTTTCTTACCTTTGGATTATATCAAGTGCCATGTCCTTTTATGCAGCTATACAATGAATAAACATTCTGATCCTTCTGAAGTAGCTAGTCCTGCCAGCCTGGAGCTAGCAGTGTTGCTTTAGAAGTGACAGGCTCCATAATCCATCTGACTCACCCACTCTCCCACCCTTCCTCTTCTTCCCCCCCCTTCAGGTGCAGCTGGACTTTAATGGGTGATCTAAAGTTAAAAGGCCTGAGGTTGCATTTTCTGATTCTCCTGGATTCCTTTCAGCCCTGCAGGATCTTAAGCTTGGATTGGAACCCTAGAAGTGAAAGATTTGGGCAGGCTTCCATTTCCCTCATCCCTCTGAGCCAGCCACTTCAACTGATACAGAGCTGGGTTAAAATAAGTGACCTGTAAAGGGAAAAAGAATGGAACCATGCTGCTCTCTTTATGTATGAAGGAGCCTGAAAAAATGGTGGGGGATAAAATGAGGGTTGTGGGGAGAGGTTCTTATATAGATTGAAACAAATCTATATTTCCTTGTTTTTATACATTAGAAATAGAGGCCTTGGTCACACAGTTTTTGTCTAGCTGACTAGGGTAGAACTGGTAGAATTCTATAGCCTCATATTATTGTTGGATTTTTGGTTGTAGTCATGTTGGTCTAAGCTTGCTAAGAACTTTTTTCCAACTACTCAGTCGGTCTAATAAAAGATATCACATCTACCCAAAGAACCTTGCCTGCCTATAACCTCATAAGTATTAAAGTGGTGAAATCTGTACACTTGAGGAAGAGACCAGAGCCTTCGCAGTCCTGCACA